GTAATGGACTCACTCACAACAAAAACATTTTTGTGACCGTTGATGTGCAACCGCCTGAGAGCTCTTCAGCTTCTCACAGCAAATAGTTTGCTTTTACTACTCAACATCACTGTTTTATTCAGTTTTACAGCTCACATGTTGTTAGTGTAGCAGCACCTGTCAGTCATGCTAAAGTAAAACTTTGAAAGCTTTCTGTAAGTACTCAGAGTAAAACAGCAGGAGGTGATTGCGATAAATTAAGATTTTGGACTTACGTTAGGAAACGGACTTTCCATTATCATCAGAGTTGCTTGTGCAGCTAAGCACAAAATTATTCATATTCCTTGCATATTTAGATTCATAACTGTTTTCATTCAACCAAGAAGTTCATTTCTGATAGGAATATCTCCAACCATAATAAAAAAAAAGATCATCAGTTTTGGAAAAAATAAAAATAAAATAATAAAAAATGGTTTATTTAAAATATTCATCTCTTCTCAACAGTTAGTGGAAAAATCTTTTTTGGCATTACAACAGTCAAAGACTTCTTTTAACTAACGAGCACATTTTTGTCAGTTTTCAATATTTGCCAATTTACCTTTGATGTGGAGGTCCAAGTTTTTGAGAGAAGGCCTCTTTAATTCCCATCACAATCCACTAGTTTAGCAGCCTCAAATAAAGACTCCACCCCACTGAAAGCATTGATATTCCTGACAGTCTGATGAAATGTGTAGGTAAAATCAAAGACTTTTCTCAAATATATTTGTCTAAAGAATCACTTTAGTTTTAGCTGTAGTTATGTGTTGGTTTTCAAGTGAAATATTGCTCCAACTCTCCATCTAAGACTTGTTCTTGTAATATTTTCTTGTCCAGAATCAATCTGATAAAATATAACGATAGAATTTGTATTAGGTAACATTTTATTAACATTTACAAGATGAGGATTTATGGATTTTATGGTTTGATGTGTTATCTGATTTGCTATCAATAAGTGCTACAAACTATTTGTGCTTCCAATTAGTCCAAAAGTCAAGCATCAACAACAAGGGTTCAATATGTCATTCTGATGAAAAATAAGTGTCTCATGCCTGATTTTTCTATGTTAGAACAATTACTGGAGGTGGAACAGTAGATAAATATGAAACTCTGAACACTCTGTGGGATGAGTTCTCTTTTTACATTATAAGATACTGAAAAGTCTTACTGCAGGCTCAACAGGTCACCATCATTACAAGGTCTGGTCCTTCAGATATGAGGCAGTTGTCTGCTTTATCTTAAAATCTGTCCTTGCTTTTACTGTTTCTCTGTCTTTCTACTTCATGCTAGTAAAGGCTTGAAACAAAATCACCTAACTTTGAATGTAGATTCAGCTCCATTTCCCAAAATGCAAATAAGGTAATGACCATGATGATATCTATTAAGGAACATTCAATCTATTAAGGATAGATTGTATGTTCTTTAGAAATTTAGTGTCAAAGGAGATTAATGGCAAAAAGTCTTTAAAAATGTGTTTTCTATCCTACAGAAATGATTAAATTGTCTTGCACTTTCAGAGAGTACACTGAAGGTGTGAAGGACCTCAATTAGTTACCTCAGAAAGGGGGCTCAGTGGTCTTTACCTCACTTAAAATTGCTGTAGTTTTCAAGTGCACAGTGTGGATCAAAATAAAACTGCAAATCCTGAAAAACTGAAACTGCAGGGAATAAAACAAGTTAAATTCAGTGAATTAAACATATGGAAATAAATTATCAATAAAATAAAGTTATATTTAAGCAAAATGTGTTTATAAACCTTTTTAGTTTCTGCAGACAGAACTGACCGACATTAGCTAAAATTCTATTTTTTTCAGACATTTTTAAATGAGAAAGGAAATAAAAAAAGCCTTAATTTTAAATTAGGATGAATAGAGTGCCTGAAATGCCTCAGTGTGAGCTCACTTTATGTCAAGTTATGTCAAACTTCATTACAATCATTAGAGACAGAGCAGCCTAATGTTTATGTATGAAGTAATACTTTTCAATTGATTATATTTGTGTAACCTTTGCTGCCAGAGGGAGAGCACAGCAAAACCTCATAGCAGGTACTGCATATTAGGATGAACATGAATATAATTAATTTGGGAAAATGAACAATAGTACCGGGTTTATATATTTGTGTACTGGAGAAAAACATCTACTGATTATATAAATTGTCTGACAGTCTTCACAAACGGAAGGAAGTCTCCAAATGGATGCTTACAGGAAGCTGCTGCAGTGAGATGCGCTTGTTTAAAATCTTTTAAAATGAATCCTGTTTACTGGCCATGATGGTTTCAGATGCAGTCAAGATAAGAAGTACATTCTGAGGTTTTAACAGAGATCCTCTTCAGGTTTTTAAATCTAATCAGATTTTACTTAAAAGAGCGACTCAGTGCAGTTTGTAAGAATGAGGAGGAAGGACTTAAATCGTTATTTAAGGCTTTTCTTTATGACCTGCCAATCAGCTTTGAAATGACAAATATGACTAAGGAAAGCTCATTCATGAAACAGGCCCTTGGGGTGCTCTATAGTCAACCTATAAAAGAATCATAGATACAGTTTTTGGCCAGACATGGCCTGGTCCCTGTGCAGGGAACTTTAGCGGGAAGATTGAGATTAGGACTGAGATGCTTTTAACAGCTCTATGTGACTCTAACTCAGAGGACAGTCAACCAAATGTCCACGGATGTATTCCTCAATGTCTTGACGTAAACTGTCTCTGACAGCCTGCATCAAACTTTCTTTTACAGAATTTTTTAGAATTTAATTATTTATTCCTTGTGTTTATTTTTACATTTTGGAGATATGTGAAGGTTTGATAGAACATGATATCTTATGTTGATAATTGTTTTTGTGGCTTATGTTTTGTTTAAAATATCAACATTTCTTTGTAAAGGTTAAGCAAGAAATCCAGTTGCCTCAAATGAATTTCAGATTGAAAAACTATGTTTGATCTCTTGGCCTAGCACACGTATTTACAAAATATAAGTCAGATAATCCATTTCCTATCATTTAGCTGTTTTTCTTTTCAACCATAAACCTGGTGCTGGATATGACCTTTAAATCCACTGATATTTAATTATACACATCACAACTGCAAATCAGGAGCAAAAACAACCAACAAAAGCAGACAAAAGGAAGCAAGCACTCCAGTCAGTTTGAATTTAATTAAAGGTCAGAAGTAAAAAAAATAAACTGCTATTCTCTGTTCTTTAATTAACTTGTGCCAAGAAGTCTATTATAGGATGTCTCAGAAGAAATCCAAGAGACACTACATTGGTAGTGCTGTTTTTCATATAGTGCTCTTCTCATTGTAATAAAACTTTATCTCCAAAGCTCCATTTTATGGCAGCCCCCCTACATACCTCGGGATTTTATATCACCCAGTTAATTCACTTGGGTGAAACGTTTTGAACTCCTAGGTCTAAAATATCTGTCATTTCACTCCTCTTCTTCTTCTTATCATGATCTTGCTAGGAAATCCACTTAAGTGCAGTGACAGTTTTACCACTGGTATTCCTGCTAAAGATGTGCACTCTTCCCTTCAGCTCGCTTTACAGATATATAGAATAGGGTCTGATATCCACAGGACAGCTTAATTTTCTGACAGGAGAGGTTTGTTGTGTTTATTTGGCTGTCTGTTTTATTTAGCTATCCTACTAAAAGTGACAACCCAATTTCAGGATTTTTTTATTTTTTTTTTTTGCACAAGCAACTTGAGAAGTAGATGATGCCATGAACTCTAATAAAGTTTCAAATTATTTTGGCAGACAAACAGGTCCGCAAAAGCATGGATCCTGCACCATGTTTATCTTTGGGAAAATTTGTGTTTTTCAAACATTTATCAAAGGTATTACACCAAACCCACCCAAAGTGTTTGTTACTGCAAAGCCCGATGTTGGTCTCTTTTGTGGCAAAGGCACATTCTGTCAGTGACAGTTCCAGTATGGAAGGAAAGTTGGCATGTTGGCATATCGTAAAATATATTTTTTACACATAGCTTCAATGGAAAACTTTTTTGTTTGTATGTGGGGATTATTTGGGTTGTTGCTGACATCTAGTGTAAAGTTAATGTCAATGGAGCCATGAGAAATGTTGAACTGAGAAAAACATCAATGCTTATTTGAATAGCTGCATATTAATAATTCCTCAACTGTCATCTTATGCTCAGGCAATGGGTAATAATACTATTTAGCCTTGATGCCACATTAGTATGGAAATCAAATTCATAAAGTCAAATTTCACATTCACATTAAAATTTATTTCTCTGATATTTGTTTGAAACATACCTTAGAGAACAACCAACCCTGTGTTTGGTGAAAATGGCTTGCTGATTTCTACCCCGGTTATCTCCCACCTGAACTCTCTTGTGTGGAGTGATTTTAAGTATTTAGTAAGTTAGCTCCAGTAGACATATAAAGTAGCAGATGACAGCCAAGTTCACGTGATGTTGATGAAATGCAATGAAAAGGGCTGCAATAACTTTTTTGTCTTTGTATTGAGGGACAGGCTACAAAAAGAATAAAGAAAACACAAAATTTTAAAAAAATCGTAATATTATTATTGCTATTATATTTGGTGTTGCATACATCAAATGTCATACATTGTTGGATTATTATATTCATCCCAGTATTTATTTAAGTTTCTTCATTATCACACAGTATTACGCAATTACAATTTAGTTATGTTTCATGATTATGAGACCTTTTCTCATAATTATGAGATAACAGGCTGTAGTTAGAACTAAGCAGTCTAATAATTATGAGAAAGCTATAATTTTCTTTTCACCACAGCGGCGAAAATTACTGAGCCCCGCTCGTAGGGTTAAGGGTTTCTACACTTAAAAGTATACCGATCAAGTTTTTTTTATTAAAAGTTTGTTCAGCAGGCTTTTTTTTAACTGTAAATTTAAAACGTCATTAAAACATTTCGCTGTATTCGAGTTCAGAATGTGCGTGGATTATCGATGTTTTGATTGTTTTTTTTTTTTTTTTTGCAGTGCCGTGATTATATTTTTACTCTGGACTTCATCACTTTCTCTCCCCGGCTCCTTCCAGCTCCCGCTCTGTTTCACCAGGTAATTTCTCTCTCTGAAGGGGAGCACAGCTGCAGAGCAGATCCAGTTCTCTCCCTGTGTGGACCCTCCGTCTGCCTTTTCCTTTCTGTACGGAACCGAACCGTTCGAAACAACTTTTCCATTCATGCACTATTTGCTCCATCTGTCGCTCCATTTACAAGCATGACCGCACAACGTGTTCACAGTAAAAAGCCACCTGCAGATCAACATCAAGGTGAGATTTATTTAAACATTTTCTGCTCTCTATTCCTTGTAGATACGCATTCGTAACCTTTACGTGATTAGATAAAAGTGGGCATGTTTTGTTTTTTTTAATTTATTTCAAATGATTTAGATTATGCCATTTTGTTTCACTTTATTCAAGATTTTACACACACATATAGAATTATTTTAGAATCGGTTTTTAAATGCTACTTACTCCATCGCATTGTATCAGACAATTTTAGATTTGCTCTCTGTAGGCAAAATAATCAACCTTTCAGAAGAAGTAATTAGCATATATCATTGATATCATTGTATCATATGTAATAGCAATTATCTTGAGCCGCAAACGGTTGATGAGAATGATTTCAACACCATAGTTACATTTTCCAACACATGAAGAAATCTGCTAGTTCACTGTCTACTGTTTCTTTTGCAACATGCAAAATGCCTAACATTGGGAATGAAAGGCATTATATTATTGCATCAATTGCAATAATACAATTATTGCAAAATCACAACCAAAACTTAAAATGCAGGTATAATTTAAATGTGAGCTATTCTAATGGTGTCAACAATCTTTATTATTGAATTTATGCAAATAGACTAAAATGTTTTGTTTTAGTCATAGCAGATCCTATGTTGCCAACCAGGTAATATTATCAGAAATAAGCTTAAAAATAATGAATGCATAGACTAGTAGGAAAAGTTAATAACTCTATACTTTTATAAATTCAGAAAAATATCAGTAGTTTACCTAAACACTTGCAGCAAATATTTTTTTTTGTTTGTCATCTTTGGATCACAAATTGTTTTAATCAGTGCATTATTTAAACACTGCAAAAATTGTTTGGTTGGATTACTACCTCTTCCAGGATGATTTATGATGAAGGTTTTCCCTCACAAAAAAACGGGGCATGAAAACATTACCATGAAAGTAGAAATATATGTATATATTTGAACACAATAAACATTGTCTCAGTGTTGTTCATCATTAGACACATGTTTGATCTTTTTTTTTATTTTTCTTTTCAACTCAGGTCCCAGTAGTTGAACTAAACCAGACGCAAGAGAAGGGATTTTTGTCAGCTCCCATTATTTATCCGGCCCTCCTTGTTAAAATGGAGCTTTCACTGCAGGGTTCCACTTCGTTTGCACCACTCTACAACACTAGCATGCCATTCAATGGCTCAGGGAACAATACTGTTGAGCAGTTTACAGAAATCAACCTTTTTGAAGTCCTCGGTCCCAAGCGATCCCCCTTTTTTTTCCCTGTGACAACAGTTTACCTTTTAATCTGCCTCACCGGGTTGTCTGGAAATCTTCTCACATGTGCAGTGATTGCAAAGCACAAGAAGATGCGAAACCCCACAAACTTTTACCTCGTGAGCCTGGCTGTGTCTGACCTCCTCGTCCTGATGTTTGCGATGCCGTTGGAGATTTACGACCTGTGGGAGAACTACCCATTCCCCTTTGGTGAGGGCGGCTGCTACTTCAAGACCTTCCTCTTCGAGACAGTTTGCTTCGCATCAATCCTCAATGTCACAGCACTCAGCGTGGAGAGATACATCGCTGTTGTGCATCCACTGAAAACGCGATACATCTCAACCAATCAGCATGCCAAACGCGTCATCACCGTTGTGTGGGGAGTGTCGATGGTGTGTGCCGTTCCTAACACTTCGCTTCATGGCCTCTTTTACTTGCCTGAGAGAATGGAGGAGTCAGCCATGTGTGCTGTGGTCAAGCCCATTTGGATGTACAACTTGGTGATGCAAATCACAACTGTGTGTTTCTACTTCATTCCTATGATGATTATTAGCATACTCTATCTTGTGATGGGCATACATCTGGGTAGAGAAAAGCGGTATGCCAAGAAGAACCTGGGGAAGAACGGCTGCAGCAACACCAGGAGAAGGATTAGTGGGGAGAATGGGCGCAGAGGACAGGTCGTCAAGATGCTCTGTGAGTATAATTTATACAAACCAGTTGCTCTGGATCCTCTACAGCCCACCCCAGTCCTTAAACTGGGGGTGGAAGATTATTCTGTAAAGAGGAGTATTGTGTGTTTTACAGGCACACAATACAATCAATGAACTGTAACCCTCAGTTGGTATAAAATAAAATCAAATATGACTTAAAAGAAAATTGACTTCGTAATTTAACTCCTTGAAATTGGGCATGTGTCTCTTTAAACACATGTGCTCTTTCTGAAACTATGTCTTCAGGAAGTCATCAAAGCATTGCTCTTTTATTAATTCTGTTTGCTATAGTTTTTGCCAGTATTGCACTGAGAACTAATATGCAGTTCCATCAGGGTTTTGCTAACTACTGCTGGCTATTCTGAAGGATCTGAGGGGGGAGGGTGCTGCTCTGTGAGATGGAAGCTGAGGAACTTGGAAACTACCACCCCAAGGAGGAGATAGACCTCAAAGGAAGCAGCCATTTTGCACAACTGAATGGCTGCCATGATATAAAATGATTTCTCAAACATGGATTCTTTCATGAAAGAAACATGCACGAAAGAACCCTTTGATTTCTCAAACATGCCTGAAGTGTTGGAGGTAACAGGCATGTTTTTCGTGAGGGAATAACATAAAAGTCGAATTCACATCATACTGTCCCTTTGATGTCTTTTCTAAATTTTTTGGAAACATTTTTAAATTGATTTTTATTTGTCATCTTGTCTTTCAACATAATGTGAATAATAGCTGCCATGAATTCAAGAAGTACTTCATCTGAATGTCTGTTATCTCAAGAAGTTATTTTATCTCAAGCCACAGATTCCAATATAATCTCAAGCACATGTGTAGAACATCATTGGGAGTTTTACAACACATCTCTGTATCCGTGCTCCTGTCGAAGTTTTTCTCATAAGCAAGCAAGGGTCTGTAGAAGAAAGAAAAAAACAAAAAAACAAAAAACACTTGTCAAGTATTTCTAGAAACGTGTTACTTTATTGATTATCCTCCCAGAGAAATGAAACTGTGAATCATGTCTGATAGAAAAAAAAACAACAAAAAAACAAAACTTTAAAGGAGACAAAGATTTATAAAATTGATATCATTTTTTCTATCATATTTTGGCCATAAATGTTTAATGTTATAGAAAAAAGCTACAAAACACTTGTTAGAGCTCTTGTTTATGTTTCTTCAGATTAGAGCTTTGTGGTTAGTGAAAAACAGATAAAAAGTATTACAATATCACTATAACATTAAGAAAAAAATTGCTGTGATTCTTGGTTTAAAGAATATTTTGCAAGTTTTAGCACAGTCTTGGGAATTCAGACATACAAACAACTGTGGATGCAGTATCACAGCTTTTAAGAAAACTATCTTACAAAAATAGTGTTACCAAATAAAAACAAAATAGTGAGAATTTAAACTGTGTTTAAAAATTAAAGCACAAACAATATTTCATTCATTCTACAATTAAAAAAAATGTTAGGATGCAGAAAAAGAAGAAGTGATTTAAGAAACATAATTTGAATTTCTTGAAAGTCTGAAAACAGTGTGATTGTCTTCTAAGCTTAATCTTGATTTACTACACTAAAACATCAAATATAGTAATTCTCTCATTAAGCTACATTTACAGTTGCTATTGTTTTTTTCTTAGCTTATTAGAAATAAAATATGCAGGAAGGGACACATCCTCCACACACACAAATAATAAATGTATTAAAAGATTGAATCTTCCTTTAAGCTCCTATCCATTACAAGCTAAAATCGGATTTCAGTTTGAAGATCATCATCTTGCCCTGTTGGCAGTGCCACCTACTATGGGTATAACCATCACTTCACTGGAAGAAACTCTTACACAGATAAATCACAGCATTCAAATTTTACATCCCATTACAAAAATCTAATGGCATCTTTCATTTGTAAAATGATCAAACAACCTCCAGGTCTGCAGTGATCAGTTAGTCTCCTCTCTTCAACTTATTTCACTTATTTCCAATCATTTAAATTTATGTTTAAGTGCAAATAATGACCGAGAAAAATGGCAGAAATGATTGCAAACATAACCGTGCAGGACATGGTAGAAGCATCGCCGAAAGCAACAAAATTCTCCTCTGTTCGGTTGCCAAGGTGATAAAAACTCCTACTGGTAATAACAATTCAGTCACTTCCTAATGCGAAATGGTTGCAAGTCGTACATGGATTTCATTCCAATGGAGGAGAAATGTTACCACCTGCTGTGGTTTCTATGGAGAAGTTTATATTTCAAATCAATATAACCTGTTTTCTGATTACTATCCAAGTATGTTGGCCAAAAACAGTGACTTACATAAAGAAAATAATAAAAGCTATGACAATATCTGTAATCTTTGTCTTTATGCATGAATCATAAATATTATTCCATGAATGTTGAAACAGATAGATCCCTGTGGGTTTTCATTAAAAACATGGATATACACAGGACCATAAACGACACTAAATGTTTTGTATGTGTGTGACTTGCATGTGTGTGTGTCCTGAATATCAAAGGCAGTTGAAAGGGACTTTATTATCTTTATTCAGGTAAAGACTGAGTATAAAAAGAAGTTAAGTTAAATGAACTTCTTCATCGTCCACAAGAAGGACCTTAAAGTTGCTAATTCAGTTGACTGTAAAAATATCAAATACATTTCTGCTGAAATATTTTTTAGTCTTTTTAATAGATATATATTTTATTTCAGTTACGAAATTCAATACTAAAAAGTTTAGAACAATAAAACATTTATTTAGGAACATGTACTCAATCAAGTTTGTAAACTGGCTTCCTTGCACACATCGTTTCAGCTATACCCAAAAATTATGGAACAAATATTAGGCCCTGATGACCACACCAAAACAGGCTTTGATGATCTTAAGTTTTTTTGTTTTGTTACAACTGCAACATTAATTCCAGAATGTTGCAGTTTGTTTCACTATGGATAATAATACTCTCTTAGTAGCCTCAGCTAGCATCTTCGCAAGGTCTTTTGCTTTTGTTCTGATGTTTTTACACCAAAAGACGTTTATTTCTGGGGCACAAAGTGGCACGTTTAGGCATTTGGAAACTGTTGGACTAGACTTATTGTGACCCACAATTTAGTTCATGACATCTTGCATGATTTTTATTTTTTTTATTTCCATCTGAGACTGACTGTTAGAGGTGTTTTGACTTTAAAGAATAAATATCAGGTTTACCGTTTTTACATAAAATTTTACGAATTACCATATCATAAACTTAGAATGTTTAATCATCTTTTGGGCTTTCTAAAATTGCTAAAAGGCATTGTTACCTTATTTATATTCAGATGCTGAAACATCTGAATATAAATAAAGGGATAGGAGATTTTTAAATATATCTTTCACATTGCTCTGGCATTAAGTGAATAGAAATTGATATTAATCTAATTTAATGTCAGATAATGAGAAAAAATGGGGATACTGTCGACTTTCAACTGTATATTTAAATGCCACCTACGACAAGTTATTCCAATTGCATATCCACACAATAAATAGCTACATTTATTCTGTATCTGCTAAGCCTCTTTTAGAGAGAGAGAGACCTGTAAGAGATTAACATATAGGGAACAAGGTGAGGAATGTAAGGGAGCATCAAGAACGACAAGACCTAAGCACTGTGAAAGAGAAATATTCAGAACTGGCAATAAATAGATTGTCAAATCATGTAGGTGTTAAGAACATTTTGCATGTGTGTATTTTTGTTTTCTGCCTCAAGCTAAATTGCTGTAAATCTAAAGGGAAAACAGTATCCCCTTTTTCATCGTTCATGCAATAAAACCTTCCACATTTGATAAGTAACAGCCTTTTACTTTTCAGTAAAATGGTTCTTGAATAGACAAATTGTTCTTTTATGTTTGATAGGTGGTGGCTCAAATATTCACTCAGCAAGAGCTGTAATTTAAGGATAATGACTTTCTGAATTTTCTTTTTTTGTTGTTGATTTTTTTCACATTTGCTTTTCAGACAACAGGAAACAAGTTTATCACTTTAGACACAGCTGTGTTTATTATCATTATTATAAAGGCTTTCAGGTTACACATTAGACATCCTAAAAGATTGGTTCATGTGGGAGTTTTAATTGGTTAATGTGGGAGTTTTAATTGGTTCATGTGGGAGTTTTAATGTATAATAATTATTTCTTTCTGCCATGAATCATTGTTTTATCAAGATTTCTAATATAAGTGCATTTGTCTCCAGGTTGCTAATGACTTGTATTCAAATATGTTGAAAAAGACTCAGATAAACATTTTTCTCATCTCCCACAAGCCAAACGCTTTAAACAAATACCAATACCTTGAAATGCAGTGCATTCTTTAAGGTTAACCACAACCTTTCTCTCTGTCTGGCTTGATCCCGCAGCAATTGTTGTGGCTGTATTTGGAGTCTGCTGGGCTCCCTTCCACATTGAGCGGCTTCTGTGGAGCTCAGTCAGCCAGTGGACCGACGTGATGCATAATGTTTATCAGTACGTCCACATCCTGTCTGGCATCTTCTTCTACCTAAGCTCTGCAGTAAACCCTATCATCTATAGTCTGCTGTCCACGCGATTTAGAGAGTGCTTCCGAGAACTGGTGTGCTCCCGTTCAGAGGACAACAGCTCTGTAAGAGACTCCCCACCGTTCCCGAGGATTTTACTGGACACCTCCATGTCATGTTCAAGAACTCAGTATGAGATTAAGGACTCAAATTCTTTGCTATCTCCTAGTGTGACTTTGACTATGAAAACTGCTGTCCTCCCATGTGTGGTTAAAGAAACTAACTGCAAGACTTCTGTTTTCTGAGATTTGTTTGAAATCTGGAAATTAGCACAAACATTGTAAACTTATCAGTGAACATTTGGGGAAATTGATTTATTTTCTTTCTTACAGTCAGACTGAGATGCCAGTTTGCTAATTATCAAACTGTCCTCAAGATAAAGTAAACATAGTCTTTAACCATTATTTAAAAATACGCTCTAAGTAATGATTGTGAAACTGATGGAAAGACACTGGATTTAAAATAAAATTAAGTTACATTAACTTAGTGACGCTCATGTCAACAAAACCCTGTCTCAACACAAACTGTGAAAGATTTGTTCCCATATCTGGATAGCAACAATGTAACAGTCCAAGGTAAGAAAATGAATGCTGACATTGTATTGATAAGCTGCTGTGTACTGAGCAGCCTTTATGTGGTAAGAATCATGGGTTGAGCAACCTCAGTCAATCTTTTTCCAAACACGTTTTTATTTTGACTCAAATCTTGAACATTCATTCTTTGGTGCACTTGTTGGGCACTTATTGTGAAGCTATATAAAAATATGTATATGCATTTTGAACTTTGGAGGGATAGAGGTACAAAATGTCCAGTCATGAAATTGGCTTGTTTGAAAAAAAAACAAATGTATTCACTTGTGCTTCACTACAATCTTCATCCTTGAGTCTCTCAAGCTACTCACACAAGTATTCATCTCATGTGCAAGACGGGACTGTATTAGGAAGCGACGACAACAACAATCTGTGGTAGCTTCTTACGGTCAAACACTTATGACCTTGAGCAACACACTGAACAAAGTGAAGGCAGGATATTGTGTACAAGTGGTATAATACCCACCTTTCTACTCTAAAGAAACAGTGGGCAGTTAATGATGCCATAAACAGAGCCGGCTTGAAGCGTTTTAGACAGAGAAAACAAACTGTTCAAATAAATGAGATATTGCGGGATTAAACTGAGCTGTCAGGTTAATTCTGCTTCATCTGCCCCTCTTATTGTCTCTGCCAGACAGAGGCTGAACTAGATGGAGAGATAGTAAATCGGAGCTGTGGATGCGCTGATGAATTCAGAGAAGGGGTCACGTTGAACTGTGAATTAATTCAGCTGGCCTTGTCACTTCCTCTCATATTGTAATCTGGAATAATGAAAATACATCGGCACAACTAACAATGCTTAATATGAAAGGGAAATAGTTAAATACAAAGCAGCCATACTAGTGAGAAAAGGTTTGAGCAAATGCCTCCCTTTTTTGATTTGCAGGTTGCAGTTAAGGGTTAGGTGTAATAATAAACGCTGTGTAACTCATTCTCATCGTATTACATTTTTCGCTGACTTGACATCATGATGTGAACTGATCTTTCCCTTTTCTGTTGGTATATTAAAAGACATTTTTTATCATTAGTACAAGTTTTCCTTGTCAGTTGTTTTCAGGCTTGCCTACATTCATTTCCGTGACAATAACCAAGAAATGTGTGAAATACATGAAGTGAGAGCAAAGCTACAAAGAATGTAGCGAAAATTTGCCAAAGTTTTCAAGCATAAGCATAACTGGATAACACAATTTACACCCAAAAAAGTGACTTTATGAACTCTAGTTTGAGTTCATAAAGTTAATGTTTCTTTGACAATTTATCCAGGAAGATGTCAGGAGAAATTCTGTCTGAAAGCAAAGGCTTGAAAACTTAACAAACTGGCACCCTATGGGGGTATTTAAAAGGGCAGTTGAGAGGGTTTTTGCCTCCGTAATTCACCACAGAGGCAAATGACCACTTGGAATAAAAACTCTAATTTGAAATACAAATTCTGGCATTTACCACATTGATCTGCATAGCCATACAAAATCACATTTCTGCATTGATATTTTTTTTAATGCAGAAATACGATTGCTGCATTAAATAAGTTCTTAAAATAAGTTAAGAACTTAAATAAAAAGTAAAAGTTCTTATTTTACTTCTTTAAGCACACTGTAGTGTTGGAACTTTTAAATGTTTGCCAATTATTGTCATAGAAATAAATGTAGCTATAGCGAAGTACATTCCAAATGCTAAAACACATGAAAAGTAAAAATCAAGTACTTTCAATTAAAAACCTTATGCTCATAAACAATGATTGCCTCAGGGATGCCACCGATCAAACTATTTGTAGTAGCTGCAACATAAACTGCGTTTTGTTCCTCTTCTTATGTTTGGGTTTTATAGTATTTTAATTCAAACATTACTTTTATTTCAAAATCCTTGGACAAAGTACTTCCAATGGAGTAACTTCTTTTCGACCTTTTTACTTCCTCAGAATACATTTATAGAGATTATAAAGTCCTCACTCCATCTTTTTTCTGTTACCAGTAAGCGGTCACACATCATTTCACAAGTTTCATCTTAAAGATGTTCTTTGTCATGAAAATGGTCCATTCAGTGATTATTGTAGGACATTTTCAGATGATACTGTTGAAGACAAGATCTGGTTGTGCTTTCCTGCTTTAGTTAGTACCGCACAAACATTCACTTTGTTTCAGGTTTGTTTGAAAGATACCTATGTGCTTTCAAAAACAGAACAATGTTTTATACTTTCAATACTTCTTGTTTTTCTGGCTCTATTTGTGATTATATTTATCCCTTTAAGACTCAAATATCTGTAGCCTTATGTAACTGGCATTGTGCTTTTTACCTTACTTTTTGTTTTCATTAGTTTTAAGTGTTTTCTTTCTCCATTGTCTTTTTATGGCCCTTCAGGCATACCATTTAGACAAACTGATTGCCTACATGTGGCAGGGAAGCTTAACACAAAGGAAAATGTCTCTGGAGATGGTTTTCTTATTGCTTGATTTCTTATAAAGTTTAAATCAGGATTTCACCTCAAAGTAAATGCAATGCATTAAGCAATTATGAACATGTGACAGTAAAAGAGAAATACTACTAGGCAAGCATGCATTCGAACTGCATTTGTTTGCTCACCGAGCTACTGTGGAAACATGGTTACGCTAAGAAAGTAGAAAGAATGATATATGGATGCATTATGTGGTAATAGGAACAGGTGTTTTGTGTTCTGAAAATTGGGCTTTCTTGACAAAAAGCATAAAAAAGTAGTGAGCAGAATCATTTCAGCCTGGATCTTTTGTCAAAATTGGATCTTACTTCCAACACATTATTATTACATAAATACACAATTAGTCAAAAGCTAAACTGTCCCCTTCTGTTTAGTTTTTAGGCTAAGCTTCTACCTAGCTTGTGTGTCTCAGTTAAAAAACACTAACCTCAGTATCCTTATTTATTAAATTAGGTGCATTTCATTTCGCAAAATTATTGTGTGAAATGTAAAAAAAGATATTTAAATGTATACTTTTAAGATTATTGGATTGTCATCAGCTATATTGCGCAACAGTGCCTGATTTCTCTACCTGTTCTCTTCATTCTGTTAAACGTTGTATGCCTTCAGGAAAAAAAAAAAAACCCAGAGGGAAAGTGGAAAAATCCGTTGTAATCGGACTGACAACATGCTAAACTTGATTATTTTTGTTCTCATTTTGAAAATCAACGTGTTGCAGAGCAGAAAAAAAAAATCCTTTGTGTTTCAGCAGAAAATATAAACTAAGAATGTAATACTGTACTGTGTGCTTCCCTTAATCTTGTTATGTCTCTTGTTGCTTGGCAGGAAATCATCTACGTGATTTGAATGACTGGTAAGCTGTTTCCCACTGATTGTGGCTATTGTGCAATGCCTCTTTCTGAAAGTTACACAAATAAATGTCTGTCTGCTTCGATTTAGCTTTTGTACATTCTCCACCCTATGCCTAAGACGTTTTAAATAGATACATTTTACTTTGATTATTGACAGATGATTATATGAGGTATGATTCAGCTTTCTGAATGTGCTATGTGGCTATTTATTTTCTAAAGGCAGAGTGAACCTCTTTTAAACCTCCAATTTGTTCAAAATAACAAGTGAGAACAATAGCAGGGAATCAGTGCTCTAATTAGCATGTTAGTTCAGCACTGTGTCAAAACAGCACATGACTGTACATGAGCCAAGACATTCTGAATGTGTTTCAGAAAATCACATCAGTTTTGATCCAGGTTACCAACAAAAATACTTTTCTAGGATTGTGAGCAAATTCAGATGTAAAATGATCTGCAAAGGAATGACAATCATAAAACATTTTCAGTGACTAGGATTCTTAAGTGTAACATTAATAGCTTTAAGTTTAATTGCCCTGTTGTCCTGTGAACTCTGGCTCCCTGATAACTTTTTTTTTTTTTAATGCTACTCATCAACATTAAAGCAAAAATTATCCATAACAACCACATAGATTACTACAAGGGTGACTGGTCACATGGTCAGCCAATGACAAAAACGACTGACTGTATGGAAGAAGTATATGTAATCTAAGTAGAAACAAACATTTTTTTAAACATTTCATTTATAACACTGGAATTTCATCATGTGCAATTACATTTTTTTTCTTTAAATTTTCTTGCAAAAATTTCTCTCCACCATTCCATTCCCCTATCCAATTTCTGCAGTCAATGAAATGTGAGTGCAATGTTTTCTAAAAATAGAGTCCTTTTAAATTTTAAACTAAAACTATTTCTTGGTATTTAGAAATCTAATACTGTGACCATATGTATCATTTTACCTCAAATAATATTTTTCTATCTTTTAAAATAATCTTAAATATCCCCTTTAATCAGTTGGCTGCTTACAGTTTTGCTGCATCGTCAACGTAACATTGATTGATTTGCTAAAATCTGCTTGACTTGATCTAGTGCTGATTGTCTTGGCTTGGGTCACCAGAAAGCCATCACATTTGCAGGCAAAGTCATAAATTCAATGTTTTAAAACATATGTTTCTAATGAGATTATGCATATTTCTTACATAGAGTGTATCAAAAATAATACCACAACTTCAAAGCAACAACTTACATATTATTTTTAGCACTTTTTTAATGTTCTGTAGAAGCTAATGCTGCATGACTAATGCTGGCTTGTGCAGGAACAATATGTTGACACCTTGTTTTTTTTATTTACAGTATTTTATTTCACTCCTCTTTAACACTGCTATTGACTTCACATTACACACAATGTTTATTTCTGACATTATGGCAATAGTTATCTTCAAGAAGAGAATATAAAAAAATACATAATATATGGTGAGGTTTGATAAAAACCAAATATGGTAATATTATGACCCAAATTTAAACCAGCATCACAGGAAAACAAAGGTGCATTCTCAGCAACAACAAAGTGGAAAACACTTACTGAAAACTGAAAACACTCTCTATAATAATGACTGGCCAAATCATTTGTTGTATAACAAAGCATATGGAATCCATCACAAATAATAATGACCTTCTGATCAATTACTGGATGGGGTTTTAAACAGCCACTTTGCTGTGCTGCAGTGTCAACCTCAGCCTTTATAGGAACTATGGATTCACATGCAATTTTAGTTATTTTTGTCCTCTTCTATCCATATGAACAACAGTGTTATTTTCTATTGTTTGTGTAAAGTTATTGAATTAAGTCGCTATTGCAGCTACAGCAAGATAACAGGAAGCTGCAGCCTTTGCAAGCCTTTGCACTTTCTGTACATTCTGTATGTTAAATCAGACTGCATTGTTTTTAGCTATTGTTTAAGCTGCTTTAAAACTTTGGAAATGTTTACCAGTTCCAATAAGACAGATTGAAAATGGATGAGCCAAATATCTTGTTTACTGATAATCCTGCTTGAAGAAGTGAACATATGTTAAATTGTTATATGACTGACCACAAAAAGTGTTGTTCTACTGTTTTCTCTAGAAACATTAACAGAAGAAGGCAGGACGAGCAAACGCACTGAATTGCCGCAGAGTGAATATTTAGCTCAGGGCCTGTGTGAGAATGACATTCATGTACATCACCCAGCAGAAAAAAATATGTGCAAAGTACTTGTCTTTCTTATCTGTTCTCATTCAAGAGTTCTTTTCAAAACAATACTAATGGCGTCCCCTCTGATTTCAGGTGAGTCTTTCACTGTTGCATGCCTTCCTTCACATCATCCTTAGGGCAAAAAACACTTGCTGCTCCTCAGCTGGTGAAGGTTGGCCTGCGGGCTATTCGCACCACATTGTATGTGTTTAGCCCTGGTGCATCAAAGCCTGGGGACAAGCCCTGATTATTAAAGACATAGAAGTTAAACAGCTGGCCATCTTGGGCTTCCAACGAGACTGAAGCCTTGCCCACTCTCAAAACACAAGGGTACTCTTTATCAAACACAACTCTGAAAACCCGCTCAACTAAGTAGTTAAGCTTTATTGTCCTGTACTTCTCTGGAATCAGCTCTTCGATCTGAGGTCCAAACTGCTGCATGATCAGAACTCCATCAGGTCCCACTTTGATCTCATAGAAAGTGATGTTGCTGTATGTGAAAAACCCAATGTAAGGCTCTGGATTTGGGGAAGCAACAAGAATCTTTTTGGCTTCCCTAAAGGCTTTCTCTATTGCTGGAACAATGTAGCTGTAGGCCTTTGTGACCACATCCTGCTTCTGAGGCCTGCTGCCCGCCATTAGGATTACCAGGCCGAGCTTCAGCCTGGGAACCAGGGAGAACGTGGCTGAGTAGCCGTCCAGATCACCATCTTTCCTCAACATCTCGTAGCCCATGAGGTCATTCACCTCCCAAGGGGTCCCAGTACGGTTTGCAAAGTAATCCTTATCACACCTAAAGAGTGGGTTCAACATGATCTTCAGAGAATCAGGCTCCAGCAGCTTACGGTGGTAGGCCCCCAGCAGCACCATGGCAAGTTTGGCCATGTCTGCAGGGGTGGAGAACATCTGACCTGAAGGTCGGTACCAGCCAAGATCATAGAGAGGAGCAGGCTTTCCGTTTGAGTAAACTCCCACAGCAAACTGGCTCTGTAACCCAGGGGTCAGTTCAAAACTGGTGTCTTCCATTCCTAATCGATCCAAGATGTTTTCTGTGACCCATCGTTGGTAGTCAACTCCAACCACTCTTTCAGACATCACATGAGCGAGTAGAGAGAATGCGAGGTTACTGTAGTGACACCTAGCAAAGGAAGCAAACCAAGTAAATTTAGAAGTGCTTTGAAAAGAAATGAAGCAGTTAAACGCTTTCTGTAAAAGAAAAATGAAATCCACAGAATGGGTTGTGTTATGCTAGACATGGTATGTCAAAGCAGACTTGTTCTGGTTTCAGATATGTTTCCCAGCTGGAGATTTAATCATTACCAACTGAGATACAATTTTTCTGTTGACAACAACTGAAGAATTTCTTTACACAAGTATCCCTGCAAGGCTGCACAGTGGTGGAGTTGGTAGAGCTGTTGCCTTGCAGCAAGAAGGTTCTGGGTCCGATTCCCGGCCCCGGTCTTTTTGCATGGAGTTTGCATGTTCTCCCTGTGCATGCGTGGGTTTTCTCCGGGAACTCCGGTTTCCTCCCACAGTCCAAAAACATGTCAGGTTAATTGGCCTCTCCAAATTGTCCCTAGGTATGAATGTGTGTGTGCATGGTTTTGTGTCTCTGTTGCCCTGCGACAGACTGGCGACCTGTCCAGGGTGTACCCTGCCTCTCGCCCAGAACGTTAGCTGGAGATAGGCACCAGTAACCCTCCTGACCCCACTGAGGGACAAGGGTGTAAAGAAAATGGATGGATGGATGGATGGATGGATGGATGGATGGATGGATGGATGGATGGATGGATGGATGGATGGATGGATGGATGGATGGATGGATGGAAGTATCCCTGCACTTATCCACTGTGCAGCAAATTAAAGAATTCAAATTTTAAGAATTAATTTGTGTTAGTATGTGAATTAGAACCGCAGGTCAGAGACATAAGAGTTAGCAACGTTTCACTCTGAACAATGAAACAAGCCTTACTTGGTTCCTGGATCTGCAACAAGAACATCATCTTGTAACAGATTGATTGCTGATTGCGTTTTGCCTTTCCAGAGTAAATTTGTAGCCCTCAGCCTCCTGGGCAGACCTGAAGCCGAAAAAACAAAGCAGCATGGGATTGAAGAAAACAACCAAACTACTGGTTGATAGTAGCAAAGAAAAACATGTATTTCGAGGCATTAGGCACGGTTTCCATCTTCTTGCAGTGATTTTCCAAAATCACTCTTATTACACCAGAGTGTTTGTTTCACTTGTCTTAAAACAGCACTTCAGTGTTATGAGACAACCATATAGTTCTCTGAACGTGATTATTATGTTCACCCCTGATTCTTTGATGGCAAACTAAGGCACGTAATGATACTCAGAGACATGCGCTACTTTATTTTTTTCCTGATTTTTTTTTTTTTCAGATTAACTCAATTACCTGAAGTATCACAAGCTGAAAAGACCTGAAAAGACCAAAAATGTGACTCTTCATGCACAACCAGGGCAATTCTAGTTTGCTGAAAAACATCATATGCTTTGCCTTTCTGAGGACAAGAAGCGGCATGGTTGCTGAAAAATGGCA